GCAGTTTGACATGCCCCATCTGGCCTCTTCCACCTTCCCCCCTCCCTGTTGTCCCCCAACTCCTTTCAGCTGGCCAGCCTGGGCCCTGTCCCCAGAATATCAGCACCCCCAAATGGGATCCATTTCCGGGTTGGGTGTGTCAAATTTCACTTTTCTCCCGGCCTGAACTTTGAAAGGAGTGTTCCTATTTGGAATGCAGTGTGTGTCTATGGGGAGGGGGGGCGGGCGGTGGCATGTGCTCAGACAACTTCCTCCACCGTATCTATGACAAACTGGGAGTCCCTTAGGTGAGCCCAGCTCTGGTGTTCCCCCAGCCGACCCAGTTCGCTGCATTCAGGTTCTCTGGCAGACCTGGAGGCTCTGTTTGCGATCTGATCCTTTTACTACAAGATCAAAGGAGCTGATACACAAAACAGCAGGCACTTGGAGTGCGATTTATTTTTTAATTTCTAAATTAAAAAAAAAATCTAATCATCAGCCCGTTGAGCCAGCTGAACAGTCGCTCTGGAACAGCAAAGCCTTAACCAAATAGTGCAATTGTGAGGTGAGCTGAGCAATTATTGAAACTCGGCTTTCTCTGCAAGAGGGATTTTAGCCTTCACCCAGTGGCACAAAAGGAGCCGGCAGGGCAAGCACTCTTCTCGTGCTCCGGAAAGTGAGAATTGGGGGCAGGGGCAGGATCGGGCAGCTGCAGTGGCTTCCAGGCAGCGCAGCGCCCAGACCACGCTCTGAGTCCTGCGGCTTCAGTGTTGGGGTCCCTGAGCAGACTCCCGAGGCCCGGAACTGGAGCTAAGTTTACCGCGCCGCAGCCAGGAATGGAGTGTGTGCATCATTGTGCGAGGGTGGGTGAGCCTCAAACATCCACGCAGAGTTGGGGGATCTGGAGAGAGAGAGAGGAGACGGCAGAACACAGACTGTAGAGGACCTCTGGAAAAGATTGTCCCCAGATTAAAAAAATAAAATTCCAGATCTCATCCCCTCTCACTCCAGGTAATCTCCCCAAGAAATTAACACATCTCCCAGGGCGGAGTGGAAAGCAAAGGCCGGCAAGGTGAGGCCTGCCCATGGACCTCTTCAGGGCCAGGTTTGGTCCCACCCACCCTCTCCCCATTTCAGAGCCACACAGGCCCCCAGCCTTTCCCTGGCCTGGAGTGGGGTAAGGCTGGAGTGGAAGCGGGTTACTCGCCCTGAGGAACCCCTAAGTACCCAGCCTCCGATGCAACCCTTAGCCATGGGGACTGCAGGCCAGTGACTGCACCCCACTCAGGTCCCAGGCGCAAAAGCAGGAAATGTCTCACTTAGAATCAGTGCTACCAAAAGCCTGTATTTTGTATTGGAGGGACCAGAGCAGCAAGTGGCAACCTTCCCCTTTAGTCCCTTTCTGTGTTTTTTGAATTTCTGTTTTTGAATCCACTAATTAAAGCTTCAAAAGCAAAAATCTGTTCTTGACCCCCCCGCCCCAAATGCCTGATTCGCCCCAAATGCCTGATTCGGGAGGCCGAGGGACTGACGGGCCAGAGCAGCAGCCTGAGACCTGCAGGCCTGATGTGTGTGTGTGGGGGGGGAATGAATGTTCTCTGATTTCTCTAGGCTTGTTTTATAGAAACAAAGAACAAGTTCTCTCCCCTCCTTCCCAAGACTTGTGCATATTTACAGAGCTCAACTGCAGGTTTAATAAAACATCTGTTCTTGCTTCTGCTGATGAGTTTCCCTAATTGTTTTCAGACAAATTTAACAGGAAAATATAAATATATTTAGAAAAATCCAAGTCCCAGCTTTCCCCCCATAGACAGCCATTGTTTTGCCAAAAAAAAAAAAAAAAAAAATTAACATGAAATGGGAGAAGGAAAATATGATCCAATGCAGGGGAGCTCGGGCTCATCTGACCTGCTCTCCCCCCTTGGAGCGAACCCTTCAGCAAATTTCAGCTGCATAATTAAAGATCTCACTGAAATAAGGGGCTTCACTCCTCTGGAACGGAAGATGATGGGGGAGAGTGGGTTGGAAATTAATTTCCCCGAAAGTCTTAAAGCAGTGGGGGAATGTATTTGTATTTCTGCTGCCCCTTCTCTCCCCCTTCCACATTTCTGCCTTTTTCACCCAGCAGCTGGTTTCTGTTCATTATAAATCGGCGAGACCTTTCAGTCTCTGCCCTCTGTTTAGGGACGTAATAAAACACTTAACTTTCCGGGCCTGAGACTTACATTCTGCTTCTCAGGTCGCCCACCCCCCTGAGCCCACCGCCTTCAGGCCCTAAAAGAGAATCTCCCCAACTTTGGGCCCCTTTCCTCTCCAGGCTCCGTTGAAGAGGTGCTCAAGGAAGCCCGGGCATCCTTGCTGGGGGCCTGTAGCACATTCTTCCCCAGGAACCCCTTCTTTCGTCCAAGGTCCTTCCCTCCCCCATCCACCCATAAAGGAGATTTTAAAAATACATAGAAAATCAGCACTCATTGAAAGCGAAACCTCATTAAGACATCCTATCTTCCATCATTCAATTTGTTGTACATTGCAACAATTTAATATCTTGAAGGAAATATCACTGGCATGATTTATCCCTCTAGCAATCTCTCTCTGAAATGGGGGGGATTTACTCTCTCTTCTGGCCTCTTCTACTTGTTACACCATTACCCTCAGGGCAGAAAGGAGGCTGGGAACTCTGAGAGAGGCTACTTGTGTCCAGGGGTGCACTGACTGGTTCCCTAGCTCAGCCCCCAGGGCACTCCCCCCCTCTCTCCCCCACCTCTTGCCCTCCAGGGGGCCTGGAGCCCCAGCCAGCTGCTGGAAGCCTCTGTCCAGACATGCCGTGAATTCGAGGACAGCTGGATTCTAGAGCGAAAAGCAACTCACACTGGTGTCTGTTTGTACCTGCCAAGTCACCCCCAAATGAGATAGAGATAACTCATCTCAAAATTTCTTTCTTAATTTAAAAACCCTCCTCTACCCTTTCCCCTTCATTTCCTTGGGGAGAGGACCATGTGGTCCAAGAGCAGGAACCTTTACGATTATAGGGGTCTTTTCCCTATCTTTCTGAATTCCAACACATTTCCCTCCTTTCTGGAGGGCAGGGGCTGTATTTTTAAAAGTCAACACAAATTCTCTGACAGAGAGACTCTTCAGCCCCCTAACAAGGTTCATGTATTAACTAACATGTTGTCTCCACCAGCTCCTACACACTGTCTGCTTTTGGGTTTGAAACTTTATTTTTCCCCCCTAGCGACACTCCAGGGAAACCTTAACGTTACAGAAGATGAATAAACGAGTTTTTTTCCCAGCATAGTCCCGTTTATGGCTTTATTGCTACCCATTGATTACTCCGCTTTGTTACACAGAAGGAAAAGATCATAAAATCCAGCGACATCCGGGTTCTTGTTATAGCCAGTTTCTCCCCCCAAAAAATGGTGGTTGGGAGGAATATGAGCTTTCATTGCTCCCCGCCCGGTCCCTACCACCCCTCTTTGTCCACTTAAAGCATTTTCGGCCTATATCACGATATCCAATTAAGTTTGGATTAATCAGGAGAAAAACCCCCTCTGCACACCTTCCGCTGTTTCAGTTCACCCACTGCGACTCTCTCGGAAGCTTCAGACTCCGCTGCCTTTTCCTAGCCCTCTCTTCCTTTTTCTCAGCCACAAGGTGGGGAAAAAAAATGGAGGTAGAGGCTGCTAGAGGCCCCACCAAGAATGACTGGCCCTTGGGGGAGAGTTCCCCAGGACCCCTTGCTGAAGTCTCCAAGCCCCAGAGCTCAGGTCCAGGGGCGCCTCCCCTGGCAGGGCCCTAGTCCGGAGGGGGGAGGAGGCGTCTGACCTGCGCAGGGGCTTGAGCCTGCAAAAAGCTAACTGTCCATCAGACCTCCCCCCCACCCCCCAGCCTTCCCTTTCTGGCTGGATCCTATGTGAATTATCCCACCGGCCCTCGCTGGCTCCAAAGCATAAATTCTCACCAACATAAACAGGAGTTGATGTCTCTAGAAAGACTCTCAGAGTTTTCTTTCTTCTTCCTTTCTTCCCTTTCTCTCCCCCCCCTGCACCCCCCCTCACCTTTTACTTCTTTTTCTCCCTTTTCCCTCGCATTTTTATACATTTCCCCTTGTAGGCAAGGATGCTGCAAGAGTTTTCCCAAAAAGGGGGTCCTGAGGAGGAGGAGAAAGGGGCCAGGAGGTGGAGGCAAGCTGACGCGTGGCCCCTCTGCCCACTTCAGCTCTGCCAGTGTACCCTGAAGTTTCACTCTTGCCCCTTTAGACTTACTAACTCGCCACATCCTTCCTGCACCCCGAGACTCTCAGCCACACTCTCCTTACTCAGGGCACTATGTTTTATGAAATTTCTTTCTACTTTTGATTCTTTTAGTTGTTGGGGGGGAGTGCCGGTTTAGTGACTGGGGACTTACCCCATGGAGTGCCAAACCAGGATTTCCTGTAGGATTTCTGGGGACTCCTCCCCTGAGCTGGGAGGGAGTTCCTCCCATGGAGAAATCAGGATGTAATTTTAGAAGGGGGCAGATATAAAAGATGAAATCAGATGGAAAATACAGGGGTTTTTCCCTGGCCCTGGCTCTGGAAACAGCACAGCAAAGTTAGCTGGAGCTGAGAGATTTCCTGGGAGCAGAGCTCTTCTTTCCTGGGCCCCATGGCCTTGCTCAGGGACACACACCCCTCCTTCACCTCCAAACCAGTTCCTTTACATACATATATATATATATATTTAAAAGAAATCCAAGTCTTACTTTCAAAGCACACAGTCTCAACTAGGGAATCAACAGAAGCAGAAGCGATTTTTTTCCCCCTTCTTGACATCTGGCTTGCGATTGGCTGGAAGGGGGTCAGCTGACTTTGTCATTTTGTCTGTCCTGGATTGGAGCCGTCCCTATAACCATCTAGTTCCGAGTACAAACTGGAGACAGAAATAAATATTAAAGAAATCATAGCCCGACCAGGTAAAGGCAAAGGGATGAATTCCTACTTCACTAACCCTTCCTTATCCTGCCACCTCGCCGGGGGCCAGGACGTCCTCCCCAACGTCGCCCTCAATTCCACCGCCTATGATCCAGTGAGGCATTTCTCGACCTATGGAGCGGCCGTTGCCCAGAACCGGATCTACTCGACTCCCTTTTATTCGCCACAGGAGAATGTCGTGTTCAGTTCCAGCCGGGGGCCGTATGACTATGGATCTAATTCCTTTTACCAGGAGAAAGACATGCTCTCAAACTGCAGACAAAACACCTTAGGACATAACACACAGACCTCAATCGCTCAGGATTTTAGTTCTGAGCCGGGCAGGACTGCGCCCCAGGACCAGAAAGCCAGTATCCAGATTTACCCCTGGATGCAGCGAATGAATTCGCACAGTGGTGAGTTTTACAGCTCCGAGATATAAATTAAATAAACTGAACTGGCTTTATGACCGGCTTCCCTAGAAGAACGGGCGGAGAGAGTTTTTTATGGCCCCATAAAAACAATCACGCCCGTCTCCTCCTCTCCGAGACAGGGCCGCCTCTTCTGCCCCCTCAGCTCGCCTCCTGCTCCCTGGCAGGGGCCTGGCCCCCTTGGCCCCTGACGGATTGGAGGGCTCCAAGGCCAGCTGAGGGGGCAGGAACAGGGCAGGGGGTGAGGGGAGGGAGGAGAGGATGGGGGAGCCCCCCAAAGTCGAGTCAGCCTGAGGAGAAGGGAGGGGGCGAGGGAAGGGCAGAGGAGTGGGGAGAAGTTACCAAGGAGCTAGGGTGCTTAGGGAGACGGGGAGCCCAGTTCTTGAGAACTGGGCCCTGGTCCCCAAGCATTTGGGGCTTTTCAAAAATCAGCTTTTAGACTTGCAGCTTTCTGTTTGATTTTTGCCCCGCCCCCCCACCTTTCTTGGGGACGCACGCCTCCCACCCCATGGGAGGTCTGAATGAAGTTGGGGTCCCGGCGGGACCCCCCGTGGGGGCGGGGCGGGGCACAGGGGAGAAGGCTGGAGCCCGAGGGGGCTGTGAGCTGCTGGCCAAGTTGGGAGGGTCAGGACTTTGCTGGGTGAATCATCCGCTGAGGACGCCTCGCTGATTGTTTTTAGTGTGTTTTGTGCCCGGATCTTTAGGGGTCGGCTACGGAGCGGACCGGAGGCGCGGCCGCCAGATCTACTCGAGGTACCAGACCCTGGAACTGGAGAAGGAATTTCACTTCAACCGCTACCTAACGCGGCGCCGGCGGATTGAGATCGCCAACGCGCTCTGCCTGACCGAGCGACAGATCAAAATCTGGTTCCAGAACCGCCGGATGAAGTGGAAAAAGGAATCGAATCTCACGTCCACGCTCTCGGGGGGCGGCGGAGGGGCTACCGCCGATAGCCTGGGCGGAAAAGAGGAAAAGCGGGAAGAGACAGAAGAGGAGAAGCAGAAAGAGTGACCAGGACTGTCCCCGCCACCCCTCACCCCTCTCCCTCGCTCCCCCCGGCTCCCCCCTAATCACACTCTCTGTATTTATCACTGGCACAATTGATGTGTTTTGACTCCCTAAAACAAAACTCGGGAGTCAAACGTGGACCTGAAAGTCGGCGCTGGACCCCTCCCTCTCCGCACAACTCCGCCACCACACGCCTCCGCCTCCTCCGCCTCCTCCTCCTCCTCCTCCTCCTCCTCCTCCTCGCTCCCTCGCTCGCT